TTACACAGTCCCTAGTTTGTATGCACTAAACGCATGGCAATTTCCAGGAATGTTTCATACAATACCACAAAAATGTTAAATACATTGCTGAAGATATATAAATAAACGCAGAACATTATTAACTAACATGCTGCATTGAGGAGGGATCCCCCTTATAGGCCACTTCGAGGGGGCACCTGCATTAAAGCCATGTCAAAGGGCCCACTTCCTTAGGTTTCTAATCAAATCTACAACTCCCAATATTCTTCTCTAGACCTATGATTTATTCTCCTTAGAAGTTAGAACCCTTCTGTTTCTTCTAAGCCAACTACCCTCATAACCTCTAAACTACGAATAAATCTATCCCAACCCAAATATTTACTATTCTTTTAAGTAGCAATGGCTTGAATATTTGCCACACTTAACAGTAAACTTTGACTGCCTGTAAAATTATCCCAAGTAAAATTAGCAGGTGTGAAAAAAAATAGTTGAAGAGATTAAAGAGAAGGGGATATGATAATAAACATTAGTGTTTAGACTTTTCTTTTAAAAAATGAAAAGTTTTGCACAACTACAACAGAGAAGATTTTTCGCTTTCTATCTCCCCCTAATGCTGGCCTGTGTTGCATATTAACTCCTATCAGTTTGGAGACACGAAACTAACGAAACCAGCGCTCAAAGCTTGAATTTTACCAAAACTAAGTTAACTTGAGTAGTCAAATAGTTATCTAAGAAAGCTTTGAATTTCTTCTTTTAATCTATGTATGAAGAATTTTAATAATGCAAAATAATTATATTGGAATCAAACCAGCTCTTCACCAAAGTGGCACCACAATGCTACCACATCATAGGAAACCAGGGTTTTAAAAAACGCTGAGTCGAGCCGGACTCGCCCGGTTCGACTCGGGAATCGCCACAGAACGAGCCGGTTCCACACATAAAACGGGAGCCGCCCGTGTTTAGAGAGAACCGGGCGGTTTTAAACAGTAAACCGCCTGATGACATCATCAATCGGCGGTTCTGACGTCACCACTCCGAGACGTGCAACAAGCGGACACGTGCACAAGGACACGTGCGACAAAATCACATGTGAGGTTGCCCCAATGTTTCCGCGCGAATACCTTAGTTCATATTACATAGGTATTTATATACGAAAGTTGAATACCCATCTTTCGATGTGGGATAATTCCCAAACATCATTAAACGAAAACGGAATGTAAATATATCCTATTAATCAGCAATTTATAATCACATGCGGCGAGACAGGAGGATGGTTATGACATTTGTTACTTCACTTGATGTCCCAAGGTCGAATCCCCTTGGGCGCTACATTTTAGTTGTATAGTAGTTTTTGTTGTATATAGTGGTATAAATATTTTTGTAAATAATATAAAAGGCATGAAAAAATGAAAAATAAAAAAGTTAATTTTTTGTATAGCAGTTAATTTTTGTTGTATATAGTGGTATAATTATTTTTGTAAATAATATGAAAGGCATAAAAAAATAAAAAATAAAAAGTTTATTCTATTTGAAATCTCCATCTTTCTACTAACAATCTCTTTCACTAAATTTATTATAGAAACCTAAAAAAATAAATTTTTGAAAAATTGAGGTGTTACTTCCAAAATTTGTACGCATTTTATTAATTTTTACATTGATAACCAAATCTTTTATTTTATTTATTAAATTTTACATTATAAATCATGTAATGTACTATTTTTCTTAAAGTTGTCAATAATACATTTTAAATTAGATAATATTATAAAATATTTTTAATTTGTTATTATTTGTCTAATAAAATAATTATAAAATGTAAACTAATAATTATAATTTTAGTATATAATATTATAATTAGTTAGGTTGTAATAATTTTGGATTATAGTTAGTTAGGCTGTAATAATTTGGGTTTTTTTAGCGGATTAAGGTTTTCGCCAAAACGAGATTTTAATGGCCTCATTGATTTAGTCTACTCTTTATGGTCCATGTATTCATATATTTTTTATGCCTTTCATATATTTTGTTATGCCTTTCATATATAATCCATGTATAATTATATATTTTATCCATGATAATTTTACGATTTTTCTTTTATGTGATGCAAATTTAATACTTAAGTTTATACAAGAACATCTCAATACTCACTTTAGTCACTTGGAATTGGAACTTTGTTGATTCTAGGTGATCCTAAATAAGGTAACCTGAGTGACCTTCATTGTGTCTTGGTGGAGCTTGACATATGTCTAGATCTTTAAAGATAACAAAGATTTTCGGTCTAACTCTCAACTGTCCCTCTCAGGATTTATTGAGCTGATCTGGCCCTGCCCCGTACCCTAATCACTTCAAGGTTTTAAAAAGCTGTTATAGAACTTGTCCAGTCGAGTGTTCCTAACTCAAAATTAGTTTCTATTTAATAATTCCAAATAAATCCCAAAACTTAACCAATCCGTATACTGACCAATTTGTAAGCAAACTTGCATACTAAACAATATCATAATAAAAACACAAGAGTTTGAATTCCATGATTATAACAATGTTCTTATGAAAAGAGAAATTTACGCATGGATAGGGAAAAAAATGCGGTAGTACCTTAGGGTCCATATTTTGGGTTATATTATGTTGAGAGATCATACTTAGGACTATAAATGGGTCAGATCGACCAAGACTTGACCCGACTAGTCTAAGTTAAACCACAACCTAGGTTGGGTCCAAGTCAATTTGACTCAGCCAACCCATTGGGTCCGGGTCAACAAATAAAAGAATTGTAATACATTCATATTATCTATATGAATCTTATAGTAACATATATATATATATATATATATATATATA